GTCTCGTTTTAAACCGTTTAAAGTGTTTTATTTAAACGTGTACTACTTGCGTAAACTACAGGCAGTAAATATATCATACCTGTTGCATTTGTTTCATATTGTAATTATCTGTATGTAATGACACAGATTACAATATCAATAATTTAAAAAAAGGACGAAAGGGACAAACGTAACTTTTTAACTTTTAGCTTTGGTTACTTGTAATTTTTACGAATTGAAACCTCAGATAGATCAGCACGCAATTGTTTAATTAAACTTTGTTTACAATATCTGCTCCTGCAAATTTTTACTGCGATTCATTTGCGGTTTCACTATAAACATAGAACAGAGATGTAATATCTCGTCTGGGATTAAGAAAATAATTATTGGAAGCGATAAAATTTATTAACAGCTGTAAAAGTGTATGTGGTGTTTTGGAATGATTAAAGAAATCTAAAACTACATGATTGGGTGATGACAGGTCTCCCCGTGACCATGGCTGCTGCAAAGCATCCAAAACGTCGGGCCGTAGTTAAAAATAATTTACAAATAACTTTAACCAATATATATCGCGTTTTAAACCGTTAAAGTGTTAAAAACATACCCACTAAATATTAAATGTTTCACAAAATCAGTCTATCGCTTTTCAGGAAACTTCAGGAAATTATCAAGAAGACAAAGCATTCATGGATTCCAGCGAGAGCGGCGAGGGTGAAAAATCCCGTCATACAAAGGTAACTGACCGGGACAATAAAACTCCAAATTTAAGGGGACAAATTATAATTTGTGGACAAAAATAAACCAGTATATTATGGAGGATTTCCCGAATTCCGGTGCAATCGAAAGCTCATACGGCGTGCTCATAAAGCTGGCTTATACAAGTGGACTCGCATCAATAACCCTTCAGTGTGGCGCATGGCACAAGCGATAAGTTTTAATTTAGATGAGATTGACAAGAAAGTCCTACGTATCTAATACGTCTATGTATTCGACATTCTATGTACTTAATAATACGTCTAACTAAATAATAATATGTAATCTATGTATCATAAAAGGAAAAAAAATAATACAATTTTTACTTAAATTGTGTAAGGCTTTCACAGCCATCGTTCAACATATCATTGTCTTTCGGGCTGTTCGGCCGACGTGAGCGCGAAGAGGTTCTCGACGTTGCGCCAGCACGTGCGGACGGCATCATTAGATGTTAACTCCTCAATTACTCGAAGAATTATGTTATTTACTTGATTATTGGTGCTTCGGGAATAAATTTTTTTTTATGATATATCGTTTTATATTTATTATTATAAAAACTGTTTTATTTAAAAAAAATATTAAATAAATGTACAATTATCACTATAAAGGTTCATAATTAAATATTACTACAGTCAAAAGTTGGCCTTGTATTTAGAATCCGCTACCCGCGACGCGGTAAGCGTATGCCTAGTGCTATACAAACGCGCCTGGCACACATCCAAGGCGTCACTGCATAGCGCAACGAACGAGGGAGTATGTTTAACCGAATTACTCCTGAATTGATATTGCGCCTGAAAATCCTCTCAAAACCGGATTGTAAGTTCTATATACGAGTATGTACGCAACACCTTACCTAGTACAGAGTTGCACACACCGCGACCCGCCTGTCAAATACTGGTGGCCCGACGACAGCAAAAAGAATACTTAAATTAATTCATTATTTTTCAATGTTAATACATTATTATCAATTCTTTATTGCCTTTAATTACCCATACTTTTGTCGGCCCCCCACAGTTCGTGATTTGCCCGAGTGGCCCCTGGTCTTAATAAGTCTGCGCATAGTATAACACGAGAACGATAAACGCAATCAGTAAAAATATAAATAATGAAAAACAATTATGAAATGTGTTCGTACATACATACATGTTAAATATGCAAATCGCCTTTTTTATCGTGTTAGTTTTTCACAGATATCATTGTTTTTAGTTAGTTTAGAAGAACAAATACAAATATGAACATTATTCTTAGTTACGAAACGTTATATGTAACAAAATTGAAACCACTTTTACTGATACAACTTCGAAGCCGAGAGACGAATTTAGGAAATTCTTGGCCCACAATTTATTACGTTCTATCAATTCATCTGGGAATGGGGATTCCGTATTTAAAAGCTCAAGATAAAGTGATTCTAGTTTTAAATTGTTGCATGTAAGTTGTAAACGATATTGACTCTCTACATAAAAAAATGCAATGCATAAAGCTACTTTTATTACACTAGTCTGCTGTCAGGTTCATAGATCATATGGAGGATAGACAAAGGGACATACAGGGGAGACCCCGACCCCTTCTGGGGCATTTAAATATCTCCATAATTATGTAAATAATAAATTCAGCCTTAAGGTTTTATAACTTACAGAGGTACGAGAAAAATAACTCTCAGTTATTTCAATGTATATATCAATAAGTGAGGAACCATACAAAACAACACCAGAAACTCGGAAATCAAAGTTGTATTGAAACATTTCAACTGGAAAACGCACAATGGAACTGAAAACGTGCAACGCCTAGGAGTGCGCGCTTATCTGCTTCAGACACGGAAATTTCGTCTGTCGAGTCGAGTCTGCGGGTTTCATTCAATGAAACTCGCCGCACTGGCAGTTTCATTTGTATATAATAGAAATATAGTGATGTTTGGTGTTAATGTTACGCGAAATATTTTGGGAGAAAAATATAAATACATAGGTATTATAACACTGTTACAAATGATATCGATGGATAGTGTAGGATATCTAATGTTTCATTTCAGTTTAAATTAATAACATTGTGCACGATAAATATTTTTGAGATTTATTAGAGACTAATTACTACTGCGAACTAGCCTAGACTAGACTTAGACTAGCGAAATGCTTAATCATTCTATTAAAGACAAACACACTATAGTTTTAAATACTGTCTGTATTTTTAAACCGCGATATGTGACCACGGCTACTGCAAAGCATCCGAAACGTCGGGCCATAGTTAAAAACATTTGAAAACAGTTTAACTAATATATATCGCGTTTTAAACCGTTAGTGTTTTATTTTAACAATGTATTTTTTTTTTATTTAACGATGCTTTAATTGCTAATAGATACACGAAATGTATACGATATATTGTGTGAAATTAAAACAAACACTCCACGTCTGCATTGTAAACCGACGCTATTGTTTTACACCGGCGAAACGCTCTAGTGATGTAGCTATAGAAATTGTGTATGATGAATTACGATTCACCCCACGAGGAAACTTCACGGGCAAAATTCGATAAAACTAGGATTGAAAAAGTGCTTGACTACATCGAATCGGTCGATCGAAGTACCCTTAAAATATAGTTCTTATTTGTTTTATTGGGAGGATTGCTGAGAATATTACTTTGGGGTTATTTACTAAATAATTGAAAAAATAACAGTAAAACTTTCTGTTAAATTTCAATAATACTTTACAAAACCATCAATTGACACGATCAAATAAAATAACTAAACTTATATTAAACCCCATTTCGCTAATTTTCTTTAAACATCGATAAAAAATCTTCGACAACACTAAAAGGCACAAACTATATTCAATTATATTTAAAAAATATTTAACACGTAAATACCTGATACATTAACTACATAAAGCACAATATTTAAAATATGCTTTTAATGTAAAAAAAAAACAACATTTAAAATCGAACAACTAATTTCAGTAGACACGGACGCGCGTCGCGTAACGCGATCAACCCGAGACTGAAATCACCTTGCATTCCTGAAATTCCCAACCGTTTTACGAACATCCGTATCTACAGTATATTTGTTAGCCCGTTGGGGTCAATTTAAAATGGTCTGCTAAGCGCTGACATGTTGTAAAGACCTCTCTGTCAGCGTTAGTATCAAGGGACTAAGCAGTGCTTCCGTAAGAAAAAAATTATATGTTTCATTATGTTTCTCTCTCTTTTTTTTTTATCGCAATGTATCAATATCAAAATAATAATATTATTATAAGCGCTAGTCAATCCTAACTCCTGATTATGTATTAACTTCCTTATAATACATAACCTATATAATAGATAACCTTTATAATGATTCAAAAAACCTTCAATTAATGATGGATATAGCGTTTTTCAGGTAGTGAACGAAGCGGTGAGAGATAGAAAAGCTCTTAAAAATGGTTTGCATCGATCAAATATTTGCTAGAGCATTTCTCAACGGTGATTTGGAAAAGAAACCAAATTACTACCAGACATAGTCTAATTTGCAATGCATGTTGTACAAAGGGCGTTATTGATTTATTGCATTGAGTTTTGTAAGTTTTCTAAGACAAACATTATTATGAACGTTTTGCTTGATATTTATAGTGCAACTATATAGTTCAATGCTTTACTTCAATTTGTACAAAGCGTAATTATCCCTCCTATTTTTATATTGTCTGCTAAAGATTGTAATAAACTACGATATCGGAAACTAAATAATCCAACAATATAATTAATACATCAATAAAGCCACGCGCCATTGTAAAACACGGGAGGTTTAAATTTGGTATAAGTGCTGAAAATTGTTGCAATAGTTGAAAACAGCAACTATATACAAAAATCAACCCTATTCCTACATATTAGGGAAGTCTTGAACCTCGGTTCGTTAGGTCATTTCAATGTCTAGTTAAAGCTAAATTCCGATAGTGAAAATAGAGAATTTTCAGACGGTATGTTAATGTTAGCGGTGAGATATTAATTTTTATCATGATGGCCTTTTTGGCACTGTTCAAAAGGTCGTAAATCATAATAAAATAGACCAAGACTAATTTTGAATCTATGGTATCTTAACACTATAATAAAGTTTTTGTATGTCCGTCTACAAGATGTGGTACTGAATACAGCTAAGTCAAAATTAGGTAACCTCAATCCACGGTTTTGTTACAATAAAAAATATGACAAATTCTATTTCTGTCAATATCAATTATCATAATTTGATAATTACTATAAAACACATCCTACCACAGATTATAACATCTTTAAAGAAAATGAGCACTTACTGGTTTGGGTGAGCAGTAAGGCGGTTAGGATCAGACGCGTTGCGATGTTTCCCACGCCTCGGTGCGTCTCGTTCGCGGCAGCTTTCCGCGCGGTTTACACCGCGAGATGTCGCACTTGCACCCCGCCAACTGATGTAAAACCATTTTTAAATTAATGTGACACTTAATTTTATTACAATGACGGATTTTTACGATTTTAAGTAAAGTTAGAATTGGTTATGGCCAGTGTCATTAACATCGCATAAATTCGAGCAACAAATGTTACCATATTTGCCAAATTTCATGGTAATTCTTTGTCCCACGTACGTCTCTGAAATATTTATAACTTCATTAAAAGACGTTGGGCAAATAATGTTACGTTTAAACAAGGGCTACGGTTGAAATTACTATCCGCGAGAGGTGCATACATCAATAGGTTGAAAAAAATCGACGACGTACAGGACACGGTAACTCAATTAGTTAGAGCAACAGCACGGACCGCTATCGATACCGGTTCAAGTCTTGCCCGTGCCGTAAAATTGTCTCAATCTAAAATGTATTTCTAATTTGAAAGACGTTGAAACAGCACCCCCTCAACTAAAAAAATGTTGCAATTTTTTTAAATATAACAAACAGAACCGATCAAACTGTGGTAATTTTTTGGAGAAAAACTCTGTAAATCTTCTCTTGCACTGAACTTAAACGTTACTTACTTGTGTTCTTTTTCTGGTACTTCTTTAGCGTTATTCTCACTGGCATCGTTGTCTAGGTCTGGTGTAGACTGCTCTTCTGTGGAACCCTCGCGCCGCGATTCACCTGCAAAAACAGCCAATTACGATTACCAAAGGTGAAAAAATCTGCTTCTGAGCGCCATCTATCAGTGAGTAGCGAGATATTTCAGTACAGTAATCGGCCGACAGGTGGAAGTAACCTTTGTAATACATTCGTATAGTGCTATGTAAACCGTTATTTCCTCTTATGTGCTTATAATAATTTTGAAGTATGAATAATTGTATTACGTAACTATATAAAGAAATAAAGAAGAAGAAATGTTGTTTTCTTCTTATTTGGGTAAAAAAGGTTACATTGATACTAAAGTGTTATGTTTTAATCTAAAATCGGTCTTATAACATTAAAATGTACATCTCTGTTGTATAAATCCCTTTCCGGATTTGATAATTCAAAGTTGATTTCTTCACTTCGCCAAATTCTTTAGTATCACAAAAACAAGTAAACGAAATACAAGGATCACTTATGTCACTTTATTCAAACGCGTGTAATAATAGCGATGATCTAAGCGACGCGAATCGCAAAACCTTCGCCTTCAACTTGCGATAAATTGCGCAATAGAACAAGTTCAACTCTAATCTAGACCAATACGGTTTAAATTCCACCAATCAATTGAATTGCATCTACCAAGTAAATATATTTGTAATTAACATCGACCCATGTATTTTGAGGACACAAACGATCACTTATAACAAGTCGCACGTACTAAGCTTAGTTTGACAAGTAATCATATCCTTGGGCATACTTTTATAGTAATCTCGTATGAAAATTAAACGATATACAATTAAATAAAACACTTTAACGGTTTAAAACTCGATATATTAGTTAAACTTATTTGAAAATACCCGACGATTTTTAACCGTAAGTTTAACTAATATATCGCGTTTTAAACCGTTAAAGTGTTTTATTTAAATGTGTACTACTCGCGTAAACTATAGACAGTATTGTATGTTAACTTACAATTAAATAACATTAAGCACATGATCGCAGATAAAAAAGTTCTTTTAAGACTATGTTTATAAATATTATCTTTCCAACTCTTAAATATTCGTTTGTCTCTTACTTGCTGTGTATACTTTTAGGGTGTACTTTTGCTTTTGGTTTATTATTCCATACACCTACTCACTTAATAGCCTTTTTTTATTTCTTTTCTCTAGTACTTTACCTTGCCTTGAAGAGATCGCTGCTTGGCGATAAGGCCGCCTTTCATTTATAAGTTAGTATGTATATTTTTATCAATCTTGTGGTTTGTAGTATGTATTATGAATAATAAAGCTGTAATAAATAAACAATAAATATTTAATATGTAACAATACGTCGAAATTGAGGTGAAAGATACTTTTTGATTGTCATTTTAAACTAATTTTAAATATTTTGAAACACAAACAACTTTTAAACACTTTCAATATGTCACATTTAAAAACGTTAGGATTTAATAACCACAGCTACAAACACCAGTTCAAGTCCTGTTGTTTATTTAATGATATTAATTTTGAAAAGGAGTACACTTTTATAATATTCGTCAGTTTACGTTGAAAACGCAAATTCTCCGCAGATTTCCCCATTACGTCAGTGGGGAGTAAAAACTTGAAAGCTCCTTAACTGATGCATCAAATTTGATGAGTCACGCGAACGTCACCCTCGCCAGTGGATCGGACATCGACCTCGTTATGATCTCAAAACCAACAAACCAAAGTGTATTTTCTTAAATTATGAAATAAATGAATTACATACGAATACAAACGAATTACTGATTTAAATGAGAACTTGTGCACGAAACAATTTTATTAACAAGAATTATGCGACCGCAATATTTTGACGGACTTGTTGGTGGTTAATTCGACACCCCCCCATTTTTAAACATTTCTTCCCCCCAGTTTTTAAACGTATGTCTTCATAAGTCTGGATTTTCGATCAAGTGACAGAGTCTCAACTAGGGGATGGGGATGGATACTACAAATAGAATTATTACATACAAATCATAATATAGGTACTACTCGAGTCATAAAAGAAACAAAAGCACATCAAGTTGCAAACATTGAATTATTTATGTATTTCAATCAATAGCGATGTTTTAAGTGATACAGCGCTAAATATAGACGTAGGTTTGATCCCAGGCCCACCGCGCAGGTTTGCATCCATAATAATATGGGCAAATCGTTTTTTTATGCAACCGCCTTGTAAGGAACAAAGACCTAACATTGTCTTCCATCCTGGCATACAATACACCGTGACCTGTACAACACATATTTAACACGCAGTTATTGTTTCAACAGGAAATTGCAGTGTTTACAAACATATTATATTCTAAATGCGATCGACTGCACTTTGCCGTAACCCACATTTATATGACCCGAATAATATACAGTGGGGAATGACGTCAAATATAATTTGAGAATGGTGGTGGATGCATAGAAGAATAGAGAAATGAACGTTTGTATAGTATAAGATATTTTAACTTTCTGTGGTGCAACTAACACGAAACAGTTGATATGTGTAAATTTAATTGAAGTTCACAAAGGATAATTGCCACTATTAATAAATTAACAAAATAACTGTAAGAAATAATTATTTTTTAATGTAGTTTAATAAAATCAGTCGAGACTAATTAGTATTAAATTTTGACGGTCTATTTATCTATATGGGTGCAGCCCCTTGGGGGGGGGCAAGGCCAAGGTCTGTAGCTGAAGACCTCAACTTAGAGCTAGTGGTCACGAGTTTCTGGTCTTTAAAGTCCTACAGTTCTGTTCGACGTTACCTAGTCAACGAAATAATTTTTATCAGAGGCCTTAATTTTATAAAGTTATAAACCGCAGGCAAAAAGGTTTTATGCGAATAAATTTTAAACAAGTACACGAAAACAAGAATTTTAACAACTAGATACAGACGGCGTGTCTCGAGTCTAACGTATATTTTGGGGGAGTTTATTTAACTAAATGTTAGTTTAGACCACCCTCGTGGGGGTCAACGACCTGAGACGGTGGCATCTTCTGCAATGCGCGAATCGCGATAACAGTTCACTCACACCGCATAAACCGACCGTTGTTACTTGTCCTGCTTGGCAAACATTCGGACGATGAGAATAGCATAATACTAATACACTCTCAATGGATAAATGCTAAATATATCAATATGTGTGAACAAATTATCAGTAACATTTGAATAACTCAATACCTATATCTATTATAGCTGTAATATTAAAAATTCTCAAATAAATGAGACAATCGAATATATACCTGCAGTTTTGTCAGCAAGAGTGAAACTGATTAAAAAAGTGAAATCCCATTGCCCCCCTGTGTGGCGTGGATCGAACACACGACGAAACTATCTATTGTTTTTCCGGAACTTTCCGCAAGGCGTATAACCATCAAGCTACAAAGGCCGTCAGTCATTCATTAAAACGTGATTCTCAAATCTTAACATACTCGTAAAATATATGGCACAAAACATCTACTTGTAATTTCTAAACAGCGACACGAAATACCGCTAAAGAGGACACTAACTGCCACAAAGTGAGCGTTCTGCGATCGACATCAATTCAACGAAACAGACGCATCTTAACGAATTTTATGTCTCAAACATCATACGTTGTTATGACTTATACATTTTAAATATCACTTTTAATCTGACACCATTTGGAAACTGTAACAATGTAATACCGTTATTAATTCATGCACGTTGCCTGTATGCCTTCCGCATTCATAAGGAAGTATATGCAAATCTTAAACAATATCTCATAATATTGTTTAAAACTTGCCGAAATAATATTATTCGTTATTTTGAACTCCTTTTGCCTACAAGTATGATAATTTGTTATCGATTAATTGTTAAAAGAAACTTCTTTTACTATTTTTGGACAAACTTCCGAAAAGCGCATACCGCCGATCGATCTGAAATTTGGTATACTTATGTATTTTGACCTCCTACAGATTAACGAAAACTGACGCAAACGCCATTTTGAAAATGAAAATCGAAAAAACCTGTCAGTGTGCCTAATCACGCGTTTCTAACCTTAAAATTATACAAAATTTCAGATCGATCGGCGGTATGCGTTTTTCGGAAGTACACCCCTATTTTTCTTGTCAAGTAGCTTTGATAAATATTAAAAAAAAAATATTTTTAAGTACTCTTAATCTAATCTACATGTTTATTTTAACTATCGAATGTACAAACAAAACGAAGAAACGGTTAAAATAAAAAAGGTTTGTTCGCGTTTGTTATTCATACAAACAAGTTAACCTCCCAAAAGCCTCAACGTGCCGGAAGCGCTTTTCGGTTGCGCATGGGCATCGGTGACACGCGCGCGACGGGAAGTTGATATTAATAGCAGCGTTTGCCGCTAGTGATTCACGCCATTGTCGCCGCTCGTACAGTTTTGCTGGGGATAATTTGAGATCATTTTAGGGGAGATTCCGAAGCTCTAAATAAAACTTAACGCGACACACGCTTAACGAAACAGGAACTGAACGAAAGCCAAAACGAAATTTATCTTTATCTAGCGCTCAGCTAGAGATTAGTTGCAGACATCTTTCTTTATTAGCCTGCTGAGGTCTTCATTACTATCGTCTATTATTAGACTTTTGCTCTTAACACAATTTAAGGCAATTACAACTGAGATAACCCAACATAGATAAATAAAAAAGAAATTGAAAATGAATTGGTTAAGTCAACTGCAATAATCGAGCATACAAAGTAAATAGATTTTGAGAAGTTTTACGTAACTGTAAAGGTTTCTTATTAAGTACTAAACAAAGCAAGTCAATATGGTTATTACTGTATTTCGGCTAGTCTAAATAACCACTCATAATATCTCACAGGAGTACCAAATGTACAAGGAAACAGGGACACAAAACGGTTTTGTATCGCAAGGTCAACCGCTACGACCTCAGGACGACCGTGTGATCTGTGTGGTCAGTGACCAATGATCATAGCACCAGCGATAAAGACGACGTGCATTTAAAGCTTCTCAGAATAACTATAAGAAATAAAGCCAATGCAGCCGACCGTGTTAAATGACGTGACATCTACATTTCATTAGCCATTGATGGGACCTCTACAGAAATAGACAATAGATCGACTTTAACCCCTAAAGCACGAACTACCTCGCATTGCATAATTCCTTGGCATTCAGTTTAAGCTTAACACTTTATTGGGTGAAGCTAGAACAAGCAAGGTGTTTGAATTTTCAATAAGAGCAGGGCATTTGTCGGAAAAAACTATTAATAACATCTAAGCTTAAATAAACAGACACATTAAGATGAGTTATTAACTCAGAATCATAAAGATGTGAGAAATTAAATTCATTCGAAACGGAGGGTAGTTTTAAAAATAAAAGTTTCGTATCGAAAGTAACGTTGAAAGTATTTGCCATTACGTTTCTTCATCACTGTTAAGGACTATTAACTTCGGAAGGAGAAAGTTCTTGCACTCGTGAGGCAGTATCGTAACAATACCATTAAGCGTTCTCCACGACATTTTGATATCCAGTAAATACCCACTAACATGATAATACACTATCCAATGTCCCATTGACCGTCTCGGGAATGTGGCACGCCCAGCTTGCGACCTGTCGCATATTCTGTGCGCACTCGCATAACTTCTTGGCTACCGGACATCGGAGCTCATTCATATGCGATGGACCGCACCACGTGATGATTGATATATATATATATATATATATATATATATATATATATCAAGTGAACACAAATCGACAAACATAGATGATGCTAAAATACATATTCCCTGCATACATTTCACTGTAACTGGACATTACTTCATGTAGGGAAGTCAATTTTATTTTTCATGGCTATTCAATCGTTGCAAATGACGTTGTTTTCTAGTTACTATTCATAAAGCACTACAATCTACAACAAAAGAAGACTTAAGGAAAATAAGTCCTTTTAGCTAACAACATATATAGGTAATTTTGCTGTATCTGATAAATAAAAAAAAGGATCAGTAAAATGGACATAGAAATTAATTCACCGGATGAAATTAATTCAGGGAAAGGAGATTTCACTTTTATGTTTTGTGCGTCCTATTTTCAAAACGATGTATTCTTTATAGCAATATAGTTGTTATACACCGTTATAATTGTTTTCTAACCACCTAACAGATTAAAATCGACGAAAATTCAAGGTTGCGCTATAGAATCAGTGACTAAGCCAAATCGTGCGCTGAATATATCGGGTCGATAATAAAATCACTACATAACGTCGTACTGACACGAAAACATTCGTTAACGATCAACGTTCATGGCTCTAAAAGTTTATTAACATTTATTTTTGACATAAACAAGACGAAAGATGCACGCGGGTGTTGGTAAATTTTCGATCGGTCATAAAATTTGATTGAACGGCAAATTTGTCTGTTTTTCTTGGTTTATTTATTAGTACAGATTCTGTTATATTTCTGTGAGGGTGTAATTTACTAATCTTTGAAATTTTAAGTTTTTTTTTATGATAGAGGAGGATTAACAAACATGAGATTCATTTGGGGGAAGGTGAAATACCCCAACCATATAACATCTAAACAAGATGCGCCGTCAAACTATTTCAGCTTTGGAAAATTTGCAAATGCACAGACTGAAACCGAAATGAGATTAAACTTCACGACTTCTGCATCTGTGGACGGTGGTTCACCCGGTCCGACGAAATTCCGTAATCCCTACCTTTTTCCTATTTACCATATCCAGATTTCCCTGTCAGAGTAGGTACAACATGTTAAACATAAATTAATAATTGAGTAGAAACATCTATCGCCAGAAGGGCGTCGAGCCCAAGACCCATTGATTATAAGACATACATTTGCTAACATTAGATCAATGAAGCTGTAAAAATCTATTAAAAGATCTACGACACATATCAATGTGAAATGTGAAACCTAGGGTTTCACATTGAATGTGTCGTAGAATTAAATAAGTATAATACAATACTTTTAAGCACTTAACAACAAACGTCTTCGTCTTCTCCCGTAAAAGCCAAAAGGATTTTTTCCGTGTCATGAACAATTCTAAATACTTCCTTCATCCTTAGATACAGTTAAGGTTAGTACGATCACGATACCAATTTATAAGAATGTCTAGATAGTGAGACCACGGTCATTGTCCTTCACGCCTTTAAAACACACTCGTCTAATTAGTTAAAACTAAGCACCGTTAGTCGGTACAGATAATGAGAGCATTAGTATCAGTAATCCGTCTAGTTTGACGTATCAATGGAAAACGAGGACAGATATGTAGGGCTCGGGCAGGAATATCTCTTAAAGGTTGTGTCAAAGCTATGCGCTTGATTGATGAGTTGATTGTGTTATGTTGAAGGAGAAAATCATAGCTTCCATTCGAATCACCCATGTTCATGAGGAATCAAGTAGTGATTACTGCAGCCCTAAATTTATTATACCAATGTATGGACAATGCAATCTCCACCGGGTCCAACAGTTATCTAAATATATAATTTTTCCGTTAAATGGGTGCTAGGAATGTCGTAATTTCGCCCGGGTCACGAAGGCACCGTCCACAGATGAAAAGCCGTGAAGTTTGATCGCGTTTAGGTTCCTGTCTGATATGATTTCAGAATATGCAAAGTCAAGGTTGACAGCGTATTGTTTAGATGTTATATGGCTAGGGTATTTCGCCTACCATTAAGTGAAGACCATGCACGTCTGCCCTCCTCTATCTTGAAAGAAATGTATAGAATCTATACTACATATCCAGATAAACAATTCTAATATGATTACGATAATACTACAATCTCAGTCAGCACAAATGCGGATGAGATAGGCCGGAGAAGGTCATCCAGTAAACATAAGGTCGCACAGTGATTAACGAAAGTTGTGCTTATACATTAGTAAAGCGATGACAAGATAAACGCAATCCTAAAAGCAATTCAATTGATTTATCAATAGTTTCTACGCGACTCACAAATTGAAACTCCCTTGAAACAATAGGAGTTGTCGGTTCTACCACATTGTAAGACTGCGTCTTGTTAAATATTGTCTGGACAGAACGACTTATACTTTTTAAATGATTTAGATAAACAATGATGATGAATGATAGATTTTGTGAATATATACCATCGCATTTTCTTTCATCAATCTAAAGTAATTCAAACTATATGTTCATTAAACCATAATGTGCCAAAAATTGTCACTTTATCATTTATTCAGCTTTCAAACGAGTAGAATAAGAAAATAGAAGGATGACCATAGCTGATCATGATTTTTATTTTGTTGTAGTGTATTTGCACATTATTATTTTAAGCTCTCAAGACACGCTTGTCTGAAAATCGTTGTTAGCCTTGAGTCTTTCCCGACATGCATTGTTAACATTTGACGGGTACAAATTAAACGTTGTCCGAGCAATAAAAACAACCATTTATTTCTCGCCTAACTTCCTTAACATGAGAATTGTTTCCGTGTTGAAATAATGTCCTAGGTTTTATAATAGGATCATTCCAAAATAAAAGCATAAAAAAAAAACAAAAAAATCAACTTACCTGTAGTACCACTGAAGAGCCAAGAGTTTTGTTTGTAAGCATCTGAATTTTTCTTCTTGACAATTAGACTTGGTTCGGCGATGCTGGCTTGTCGACTTCTATTTAGGGGCGCTTTGACGCTTTTCTTTTTAGCTTTCTTTAGAGTGCCGCTGTGTGACTTCCTCAAAGTGTTCACTTTTACGGATTGACTTTTCCCTCTAACCTTACTTTTACTTCTAGACGTTTGTCGGCTTAGTCTTCTTCTGTGTTCCACCTTCTTAACTGGTATTTCATCGTCTGAATCAGTTTCTATCGGAACTACTTTGGATATTGAGGCAAACCGTTTCTCCTCTTCCAAAAATAGTTTTGTCTTAAGAATGTCGTCTGCTGTAGCCGTACCGTCTACTTCCATAACATCTTCCACTGGTTTCATCGACGTCGGCGTTTTTTTACGTCTCAAAAAGTTGAAACTAGACACCGATGAACCTTTACTACTTTTTCTTTTTACATCTTTTGCGTCATTCTTGTCATCTTTTTTACTGTTTTTTCTTAAATCTAGTTTAATATTGGATCCATGTAGAGAATCTTCTTCGCTCCAGAGACTCTCTCTAGATTTCTTTTTATCACAATTTCTGTCATCTTTTTTTATGATCAAACCATTCGTCGCCGAGAGTTTTTACTATCTCTAAGGGATTTGACAGGGACATTGTCTTCCTGTGTCCTTTTTTTGTTTTTGTTTCCCCTTCTTCATCGGTGATAGCTAGTTTTAAGGATTCCTTACTCATAGTCGGTGTTTTGCCGAGCCTAGGTAGTGCGTCATCGCTCGCAGAGATGACGTCACTTTGACAATCGGCAGACTCGTAGAGGGATTCGTCGCTCTCATCCCGCCGTTCTAAGAATTATAAATGATTTATTTATGCTTTTAAATAACAATGCTTTGAGGTTTCTATGCCACTAAGTAGAAATAAATGATTTCCTTAATAAGTAAATTTAAAAACTCGTTTAACGTTACGCTTGCGTAAAAAACGAAGGCTAATAAATGTGTAATTATCACATTACGGTGGGCTTTAGCAAAAAACGATAATAACTACTTTTATTAGCTATGGTGATTTAATTTATATTATCAAACAATTAGTGTCCCGAAGACTAGCACAGAGTTAATAAAAAAGCAATATGTACTAATAATTATTTCAAAGCACACTATAATTGTAGATGACATAATGTGTACTTGAGTCATGTAAAAAGCCATGACGTTCGTACTATTCTCCTTATTTACTGCTTAGTTGTAATGCAAGACAATTCAACAAAAGATTATTTTAATAAAGCCAAACTATTAAATCCGCTTCAACTATAAAATAACAATGATACTTTCGTGTTTTATTTAATAGTGTGATGACGCTAAAGGCAGACGTATTGTCAAGTCGAAGTTAAAAATATAAATGACTTACGCGTTATAAACAGTTGAAACTTTTATATTTGACATTTCGTACAATGTTATTTTTTGAGATTTAATCGACAAATCTTTGATTTTTGATTCGAGATTACAAGTTTTAAATCACAACTAGGTTACGAAGGAAACTACTTGTAACGCTTGTGAAAAAGATTTTTGTGAGTTTTAAGTGGCGAGTGCCATTTCGTCTCGCGGATAATAAAATCTTCGGAAAACAATAATAATTAACACACAATGAGACACTTTCTAAGCAAGATTAGCGACAAAAAAGGCGCTCCATGTAAACGAAGCGCTAGTTTTGTAACTGCGAAAGTATGCTTTCTCTGCTAGTTTTGGTAATGTTATTTAATATTAATGAGCTATAAGTGATTACGAAATTACTCGTTTACAATGCAATTGCTCGTACCGACGAGCAGAGGCGATTGCTCCAACTTATATTCGTAAATATATGTAGGCTACTTTATAAATATTAATTTTTATTTTATTGAAAAGCGAGGCTAAACAATTATCATTTTAATTTGTAAAATTTAAACGCGAGTCCATTTTTTGTTTAAATTTCACGTCCTACTTACTATAATTTTAATAATTTTTAAACAAATTACTCGAGCTACGGGCATACATTATATGTAATTAACCCAAATTTGGACGCAACAGGAGGGTCAGCAAATTAGGTTAAACGTATATTTTTATTATCGCACGCAAAGCCTGAAAATTTATTACCTATATTTATCTTGGTTTTATCTGATCTACTTCATAACGATGATTTATTCATAGCATAGTCCGATGAGGAGAAGAGGTCCTCGAGGTTTCGCCATCACGAGCGGACGTTATCATCAGGAGATGTTAGCTCCTCGACTGCTCAAGGAAGCTCTCGCTCACGTCGGCCGAGTAGCCCGAAACCATTGAAAAGATGGCCGTGAAAGCATACACAATTTATCACATCGATGGTTTACTGTATAATTTTAATAATTTTATACTAAATAATGTTACCTACCGTAGCATCTGAGATAATTTAAAAATAATTGATTTTCATCTTCGGACGGTAAAAAAAGATTTTAATTTTATGGAATCAATATCGTATTGTGAATTCAACCGGTTTATTTATTTTAATTATGCGGTTCAAAACTAAAACTTTTTAGTAAAATTGATTTTTAGAGTATGAACACTTTAGTAATATTGCATAATCTCTGTTATCTTATATCTGCTGATAACATAAAGAATAAGCAAACAGATAACAACTTTAAACAGAAGACCGACTGCACCACTGACCAACATATTGTTTTATATTTTGAGCTGATATTTAAAGTTACTCGCTTCCCGACTAAGCCAAATATTACATTTAAAAAATCATCTTCATTTCAATTAACGGCAGACTGAAGGTCATTAACCGGGACCGTTTTTGCAGACAGTGTGCTTTCGACGCGATTCGTTTGAGAAAACCTTAATTACATTTAGATAAAAATATATCCTAATATGGCAGTCTTTGTGTTGAATCAACGAACAAAGCCTTTTTATCCAAAAGATCTTGCCTTGTGTATGTATTTATGTATGCGTATACTAGTTACACATACATATTACTAGTTAGTTTATGCCCGCCTCCAAGACATAATGGTTATTAATACATATTGCATTGAGCACAAAAGGTTCTGGGTTTGAAACCATCGGAAACTAGTTTCGTTCGGGCGTGGCACAGAAGTATAACCGTACTACTACTACTACTACTAGGTCCGTATCGGCAATGAAAAAGACACAGAGACGTGTCTTCTCATGTATTCGTGTCCCCATTCATATGAAATGGGGACATGGGTTCTTACACTAGTTTTCGCTACTACAATAAATTTAAATTAAATATTAAATTATGTATCTAGATGCGAATGACAGACACAGTAACCTGGTGACATTGAATTTCTAATCGATGTTATTTATTATCTAGACCGGCGAGTTATTAAAAATTTGTATCAAATTAAATTCGCGACAGAAAAGATTAATGAAATCATTATTTTATTGAGAGATCATTTACACGTCGTGTAGAAGCTAATTAGTTTTTTATGCTCTTTTAAGACCCTATTCGCTATTAATAATACTTAATATCTGGTGTGCGATGCTTTACATTATAGCGTAGTGTGAAACGGACTTAAGAAATTAATCATATCGTAAAACTAGTGTGATGTAGAGTCCTACCAATTTTCGTGGCATAGAAACATCAAGTACCCTCAAATTATTTGAAAACACCTACCCATAGACACTTTCATGTCTAATATATCAGAGTATCGCCGCCTCTCTTTATCGCTTTCAGTTGATGTCTCCCTCTCGCTCGACTCGCGAGTCGGTTTCAGAATCGGTTTCTTCCTGCGCAGCTTGTTCAGACCGTTCTCCACCTTATCCGGGACCCTGTCCCGTTTGAACCACATCATAATGACCATATAAACGAGGTGCGCACACTACGGTACTGTCATCGATCCTGCGACTCTTGTAAACACTCTCACTTATCACTTGATCACTGCATCCTATATCACTTTGTACACTTTCCACGTCACGCTCAGGTTATTTTCGTCACAAAAACAAATGACTGTATATTTTTGGTATCCATTTATATCTGGAAAAATTATAATTGATTTATTCTTAGCCTTTATTTTGGAAGCATTGTATAATGAATATAATTTGTTGTTAGAGTACTGTAAAGCCTTCAGTTTTCGATAAATTGGGGAAATCTAATATATAAGCTAAACAATTTGTTTTATGACGGTTCGAGCATGGAGGTTATAATATGCTATCGTGCTGCGACTAATAGAAGACAATGAAACAGCGGGAAATGTGGGAAAAACATTATTCATCTTTGTGGGTTTCCGTTGCGTACGATGCGTACACGAAAATATACCCAAACAATAAATACTCTATAGCTTTGTATTTTAATTTCCCATTAAGAACAATTGAACACAACGTACGTGCACAAGCGTGCACAACAGCGTTAGTCCAAACGTTTATCAATATAAACAAACTAGGAAACATCCTCCAGTTTCAATTAGATTACGAAGAGCGGAAGAGTCCCATCGGATGTACGGAAGCTTCCGTGCCAATTTAACTGTTGCGTAACTAGTAGAGAAGTAGTTTTAAACTGCATTCATTTTTAATTTGGATAAAAAAATTTGAGCAACGCTCTATCTAGGACGCCTTTGGCAATAACCTTCCCATCTTTAGGAGGTATTGAAAATTTACTTTTAAAAATAGCAAAATATCAAGAAAGAAATTTAAAACTATAAAAAGAGCGCTTTATAATAAAAACTTACTATTTACGCGTTATTAACTTAATTTTGTTTTGCTGAATCTGATCTGATCTGAACTTAATTTTATTACTTAACATACAAATAGTAGTTCCTATGTTATAGAGTACTTTATTCTACTATTAAGTTAAGACATAAGATGTATCAGAATGTGGAGAGTCTATTATCTATGTATATACTGAATTCATAGATAACAGATTTCCCACATAATGCGTATGATAAAAAAAAGAAATCTTGTATGAAGAGTTCGTTATTCCTTGGCCTTTTAAAAAAATTAGCACACATTTAATTCGTACACGAATTTCGCAAAGTAAATTGAGATTAATATTCGGCGATACACAGTAGCCGAATGTGTAATATTAATTGCGGATAATTTATATCTTTTGTTTATACAGGCAGCGGCTTCAGGCGATGGACGAGGTCATGCGCATGCGGTTACCAATGTCATTACATAATGTCATCTTTAATTGTACATGAAAATTAATAATAATTGGTTATTATAATGTCGCAATCCCATTTCGGCTGTAGAATAAAATTGATCGTGAAATTACTGGACAAGAGTTAAAGGCAACCTACAATTTACCGTGCATTGATCGTTATTAAAGTTAAATAAGGTTTTGCAATTCGATATTGTACCTTCTGGGGAACAGTTGAGCTTCGGCGAATTGAGGAAAATGAATTTTTCAGATTTCACACAACATTAAGTTGAATAGTATACGCCTACTACTATCTAATTCATGATCATATTACAATAACTATTAAATTATATCGTTTATGACTGGCTTGGGATGGTTGGAGATTGGGGATTCCCCTTTAAAACCAGAAATAGATTATTTGTAAGTAAAACCCTGTTTCCCCTTTGTGGTCGTGAGGCCGACATATTTCTGTGCTGTTTTAGTAACAGAATCTCTCGTGCTGGACGATATCCTAAGCAAACTATAGAAGTACACTGCCACGATGGTAGTTTTATCTATATCTATGACTACCTGTAATAGAAATACTTTTCTTCCATAACTAATCACTTCACCAAACAATTTACTACATGCACTAAAGTTACCAAGAGCAGATAGGACCGGGTCTCAACATTGACCTTTTATAAGACAGATAATTATTTTTATGAATTTTATCAAACGTCTCAAGTTGACGAATGATATCGTTAATGTACAAAAGATATCCGGCCGCGTCCCGTCTCAGCAACTGACATTTCTTATCCTTTGCCAAACAGTGACTCACACTATAGCTATACACTGCACAGTTAGTCCTGATACAAATATCAAAACAAATAATAATATATTTTCTATTCTAAACGACTAAATTTATCGCATCTAAAAATTGACAACTTTCGGAGGTTTTATGAAAAAGCGATATCTATGTAATCTATTTGAGTAGTACACATTAAATGAAACATTTAACGGTTTAAACAACAAACTAACTTTATACTGTATGTAGGTACATTAAGCGAGTACACATTTAAATAAAACTCTAACGGATTAAAACGCTATATATATTAGTTAAACTTATTTGAAAATTATTATTAATATACGGAGCTGAAGGATCTTAAACTAGGCCGTACAAAAAAAAAATCTACACAAACTAAATTCCATGATATGTAATTTAGCCAGGTTTAAACCTTCGGTGTTTTAATAAAAATCGTTTTAAGACATGAGGAACAATTCTTATTAACACAACATAAAACACTAGGCTCAAATAATAACACAGCAGCGAACCAGCTGTTTACCATTCAACCCCTCGATTCAAAAGCTCGTTATCTCTAATTAGATGTCAGTTCAAAATCGACGGTAATACTAAACTCACGCCTCGGCGGCTTCCTTTTGAGTTTAGATGAAACACGACGCTGCGGAACGGAAATGGTAAAAATAGATATCGACTAACATTCAATACTAGTTTGCAACGGTAACTGAAAACCGAACGTTAGATCTACGCGCTAACGCATGAAACAATAACATCTGACGGTACTATTAACGAATTTTTAAAAGTCATTTATCTTTGCCCTCCTTTATTCGACAGATAACGTAAATCGCAATAAATCCTAGTTACTATATTGAACTAACCGCCTCTGTGGCTCAATGGTTAAGAACACTGCGTATAACGCGAGAAGTCCTGGGTTTGATATTTTGGATTCTAAGGAGACAACAAACTGAGTGAAATAGACACAAAATGTGCCTGCCCCGTATACCATATACGGGAAATAGGATTATTATAAGATGCAACACATCTCCACACTAAGAGGCTAAATAATATTAATAACCAAAATAATGCTACGTTTGGTACATAGCCACAATTTACCATACGTAACAAGTATAACGTAAAACCAAAACAAATGTCATCATGAACAAATAAAAAATATTTTTGTAATCAATTTAAAAATGTAAAGCGGGACATTTCATGTTTACAAACGAAGTCTTCGCTTACCCATAATGCGTACGCGCAGGTAGTTGGATGACGTCCAAGCGGTGATATCATTTAAATACAAACGATTTGTTTGAATTAGGAAGTTGAGTTATAAATAGAGGGATTGGTCTAATGGTAGCAATGTAATAGTTAGAGGGCAGTAATTTGGGCTCAACTGGTTCTACCCAATTTTATATATATTTTTTTTATTATTATATTAAATGGGTGATAGAAATACCGAGTGAAGTTTAATCGCGAATTTCAGTCTGTATATTTCCGAATGTCCAAGGCCAAAAAAGGTAGATGTTATGCATGTCTAGAGTATTACACCTTCTATCAAGTGAACTCGTAGGTATTTGTAATTTGTTTGTATTAGAATATATTTGAGTCGACCTCCTCTTACACGCAGTTAACGCATTGTGCTAGGGAGTCGATTATAAGTGAACTATTGGCTACAATTTCGATGATTCACATAACATTATTTTGAATTAGTTAATGTGCGATAACAGCACGCGCGAACGATTGCTGTTAATGCATGCTGTTATATGTATATCGATTTAAGCATTCTAAACATCCAATCATTGAATTCGTAGCATATGGAATCTGTATCTATATTAATATAATAAAATAATTCCAATAACGACTTCAATAGCAAGGGTTTATCGGTTATGAACGGAACTTGCGACTACTACTATTTACTTAAGGGGGGGACTAAGGAAACGTCGCTGTTTTAAATAGTATAGAATGATATCGACGATCCACTATTTAATAGGGAATAGGCTTTTTTAATACATCTTATCTCTAGCAGCGAAAGCTTCTAAACGAATTCAAGTAGTAAAGATCACAAAGTTTCAAACGAATTGCAAATCTAACAACGCTGCGCCTTTCTCGGTATTGTTTTCATGTATTTCTACGAAACATAATCATAACACAGTGAGAATATACAAGGAACCTCAAAGCTAAAGCAGTCAACTGGTCACACAGACAGGGTGGGTCGAGACGTGATAAAATGCGGTTCGGACGCGGAGTTTCAACGAATCAATGCCGCAAAGTCGATACATCACAGCGGTTCAAACTGCCGTTTGTGCTTTATGTTATAAGGAACAAGCTGTTTTAAAAATACAGCGTAATTATATTCTGGTTCAATTGCACCCTATACGATTGGTTTAAAATGAAATATTATTTTTCTACATTTCCTGTGACCAATATAAGGAGCGCACAAAATAAAGGTAAATGTGGAACAGGGAAAATTATTCATCTTGAGGGTTTGAGTTGCGTAGGCTGCGAAAACGCTTCAAGATACTAAAAACTCCTCTTTAACGGCTAAACAATGTCCGCGACACTATATTTCTATCTTTTAAGAATAACTTGCAAGAACGACAGGACGCAGAAGACGTCGTGGGTAACAAATAAAAGTTATGTATATCTACATAACTTTTAAGAAGATGGGTCTGCAAAAACAATTTTTTATGCCCAGAAGAACCATCTTATATGCGGACGAAGTTGCAGGCTCAGCTAGTAATTGATAAACGTATAACGATAAACTAGGTTAGGTCTAATTTTAACATTAAAAATCTTCCGACGTTTCTGAATGGTGAACAACAACTTTTCTATCTCGGAACATCATAACAGCGCTTGAATCAAGAAAGATCAATGGGCACCATCTCACTCCGAGAGACACGGCATCAGCTGTTATTATTAACTGCTTTACCGCGTATTTG